GCGGGGCGCGGGGCGAGAGCGCCGGGTGTGATGCCAGCCCGCTCGGCGCGGCCGCCCGCCGGGTCTGCCTGACCCGCAGGGGCCCCGACCCGAACGCACCGCCCGCTCCGTCAACGTTGGCCCCGCTCTGCGGGCGCGCCACGCCACGCTGAGTGGGGGATAGTGGGCAGCTCCCAGCTCCCATGCACAATTTAGTCCGCCACCGGTAAGGGAGCATCCACAAAGTGCGTCCATATCATTCGCCGTTTACGAACCTCTTGCTCTACAAAGCTCTCAGAGCGCCTGGTAGGTAGGCAAGATCTCGCCTGTAATGCATGCGGGTACTGCGGGGCGGCCTACCCCGAGCCTCGCAGGCGCCATGCGTACCGAATAAATCTGACGAAAACGGACACACTGTCTGGAGGATCTCTTAGGAAGTCTTTTGGACGACAGGCAGCCAAACGGTGGTCGAGAGACGGTGGTTGGCTAACCTTATCCGACTACCAACTAACTTATCAAACTGGGTACAAACTATTCGCAGCTCCTCGAATCGTCACCCGTCACCGGTCAAAAAAAAATTTTTAATCGACGGAGGAGGAAGGGGGAGGGTGTGATAGGGACTCAGGTGATGAGATAACCATCGCGTTAGTAGCAGCGCAAGGGCCGCGTAGTGAACACAAGGCACACGGCACGCCTAGCTTTATGGCGGCTGTGGATCTCCCGGCACACAAACGGGCCGTAGTCGTAGTATAGGGCCAGGAGGGCGGCGCGGGGCCGGTGAGGCTAGCAAGCCATAAGTAAAGGCCTTGCGACGAGCGGACACTTAACTATGATGCCGCCGCCGGCCGCCGCGGCCACGGCTGCTGCTTCTGCTGCTGTTGCTGTTTGGACTAAATGGCCTGGACGCCGGTAGCAGTTTGCTCATCGCTCGAGTGAAAGTCCAAAACAAGTTTGTGATGCGCTAACGTCACATTTTTTTCCCCGCTTCCCAGCAGCAGCATCAGCAGCGCACTGCTCGCGGAGTGAGTGGCGCGCGCTCTCTGATGCGCAGCGCGTGGGTTGGGTTCAAACACCCGCCGCCAAGACCTCTCAAGTGTTTTCCACGCCCCCCTTCGGTTTGCGTCTCGTCTCGACCAGGCAGGTGGGAGGGGGCGGCGGTGTGGGTGAAGGTGAGCGGCTCGGACTGCGCCGGCTGCGCTGCACAAGGACCAGTTCACATGCTAAACAGTCAGTCGGATGGGCATTCCGGCACCAACCGGTGGTGGTGGTGATCGGTCCCGATCAGCAGCCCCCCGCGTGGCTGCCGCACGGACAGACAGACGGTCGGGCGGAGGAGGAGCAGCAGCGGCAGACAGTCGGACGGACCGACAGACCTTCACCGCCCTGCGGCGCGGCACCGCGGGCCGGCGAGCCGCGGTTACCCAATGAACCGAATCTTAGTAGGGATCGGCGCGCAGCTGCTCCCAGCACCTGCAAGCTGCGCGGCGCGGCAGCTGAGGCGCCGAGCGACCCGTCAAGTGGAACTGCCATTGTCTCGCCAATGAGCCAACTGGCTCCTGTTGTGCAAAACCAAACTGTTATCGAATGGCGCCGGCGATGACGCGGCGCGGAGCCTGGCTGGCGACAACTTCATAGCTCGGATTCCGCCGAGGACGACTGCGGCCGCTCCCCGCAGAGCCAGCTCCCCGCGGCGAAACAGAACGAGTCGTTCCAGCAGCAAAGAGTGACTCCATGGCGCGATCGTCGGCAAGGTTAGGAAAAGAAGAGCACTCGTCCAGTCCCCAGCAGCGCCGTGGCTCTCCTTGAACTCTTCCTGACCCACATCAACCCCGGGGGCCGCGAGCTCTAGAGCGATGCAGCTCGGATTGGGTGATGGGGTGCAGCTATCCGCCGCGCGGCCCCGCGACCCGTTGCGCCACCTCCTCCTCCGGCACAGACGTGACGCGACAGAACGGACTTTTTTGCTCCCTCGGCGCGAGAAAAAACAAACAAACAGAATAAAAACGACGTAATACAATGAAAAGTCTTCGGTCTTTAGCGAAATTGGTGCAGACGACGGCGGCGGCGGCGCGGCCGCGTATCTCTGAATCTAAACCGGAGGCAGTTGGGCTGTTGTCCGGAAGAGAGGAGGGGGTAGAGGTGGAGGTGGGCGGAGGTGGCAAACGGAGGCCCACGCCCGCACGGGGCGGCGGGGGAGAGAGATGGAGGGCGGCAGGTCTGCTAGGAGCAATCATCGTAAAAAGGTAGTTTCCATAATAGAAAATGTTCGGGGCGTGTTCTCCCTCCTCCCCCGCCCGGCCCGCGCCCCAGAGCCGGAGAGGAGGGACGGCCAGGCCAGGCCTGGGGCGCGCGCGCGTCTCGTATCGCACGTCCATACGGGATTAGGATCGCTACGCGACGGCAGCCCCAGCGGCAGCCAGCCCTCGGCGGCCTCGGGGCGGGGAAGGGTAGAGGGTAGGGTCTCACGTATGCGCAACATCCCCTATCATCAGCATCAGCCCATCACACGGGGGCGCGCGACGGGGCAGCTCAAGCCCTGTCCGGGAGGAGGTGTGCCTGGTGACACCTTCTGCATCCGTAGCCCCTTCCACAAGCCCCCGGTGTGAATGTGTGTGCGACACTACGGCGATCACTCCACGACAAGCAAGAGCCTCGTGGGAAGCGGCTTAGGTGGGCCGCGGTGGACCACTGTAAAGAAATATCTAGTAGTTTACAATTTACAAAATAGTTACTACCATGTACACACTACGTAGCACTTTTCCATACGTCACTGAATTATTTGTAAGTTGATACGAGTTCTTGTTGTATAGGAATTGAGGGAATTCACCATTTTTAGTTGTACTTTACGACACACCACCTTTCATGGAACATTTTCCTGTACCCGTGTACAACAATTTCTCACAGTGCGCATGGGGCGGGGCGCTGTGAGGTGAGGCACGGGGCGTGGCCGGGCGTGGCGTTTATGGAGCACCTACGCGCCGTTCAAAGAGCCGTCAGCCGAGCAGTATCGGCCACAATAACCCCGTGTAGTGCCCCATCATCTTTGCGCCCCGTGCGCCGTCAACCAGGACAATAAACGAAACCAAAAAGAAATTGGAAAAATAAATAAAATCCTGGTGGAGGAAAACGACCCCCTGAGAGGGTCGCCGCCCCAGTGCGGTGTTTCCGCCGACCCTAACAGGATTCGAACCCACGACGTTGGTGTTGCGTCACGGGACAAGTGGGGCAGGAGCGGCGGGGGTGGCGATCAGCCGGTGTAATCCTGTAAAAAAGGGGTGAAACCCTAGCTCCTTGGCAGCGAGAGACAGGGAGAGAGGGCGGCACCCGGGACCCGGGCCGAGCGACGCAGGGCGCGCCCTCCGGGTGGGTGGGAAACGAGTGGAGTGGGAGAGCGAGCGAAATAGATTTTCAAAGTCGGATTGAACCCGGGTTCTGGCCGGACCCGGGGCTGGGCCAGCACGAGTGCCCAAACTGCTGCGCGACCCAAAGTTTAAAACAACAGAGCTCGGGACACAACGGCGGGTGGGGTTGTTGAGGGCGGTACTTACATTGCTCCCCTGGTGTCCGGGATGGGCCTGTTGGACGCCAGCCCGTCCGAGGCCCTCTGGTTGAACCTGTTCCGGAGGTAGGGGTCCTCGCCGGTACGCAGCCCACCCCTCGACACGTACTCGCGCTCGTCGAAGTAGTTCCACGAGAGGCGGGCGTCAGCGGGCGCGGCCAGCGGGCCCCCCTCGCCCGTCATGCCGCCGTTGCCGCCGCCACCGCCGGCCGCGCCGCCCCCGCCCCCCAAAGCGCCGGCCGCCCCCAGCGCCGCCCCCTCCGAGGAGGGCGTGACGGGCCCCGGCGGCCCGGGGGCGGCGGGGTGCTGGGGCGGCTCCTGCTGTCGCGGCGAGGGGTCGGGCCGGCCGCCGGGGCCGCCAGGGCCGCCGCCGAGGACACCCTCGTCGCCCGTGTACAGCGCGGCCAGCGGCTCCTTGAGGCGCAGCGCCCGGTTCTCCTCCGGCTGCAACAGAAACAGACAAAGACTCGTCAGCACACTGCAGATTACCCCGCGCGCCGGCCACACCGGCCACTCCGGTCGCGTGCACTCTCCTCCCTCCACCCTCACCGTCGTCTGACATTACGCGACCCTTCGCGTTCGTTTTTATGCCCCACGTGTGTTCCTCGGAAGGAAAGCAGCCCCCTTCCTCGGTCCGCACCCCCTCCTATGGCTCCCGCTCCCCGTGCACTGGAGGCGCCGGCTGCCCTCCTCGCACCCCTTCCTTCTCCTTGAGGGCCAGACCGGGGCCGGGGTGGCCTGGTCCATTTTTAATACGCTGGGGCTGGAGGCATTTCATCTCCGGCTCGCTGGGCAGCCCCCCCTCCCCCTCCCCACGAGATACGGGGGCCACTCTACCGCCCCGTACCGTGAGAAAAATAAAACGGCATAAAAGGTGTCGTGAAAGCGAGGAGGGGAGGGATGGGG